CCCCTTATGGTGTTATTTGTTTTAATGAAGACATACAAACTAACAAATCGAGTTTGGTGCATTGAAATATAATATTTTAAGCTAAGTATTACTTCGCAAAGTCATAACATTAGAACGTTGATTGAATTTACGATTAACATTTGGCGTGGCCATATTTTTACGCGCGTCACGTTTGTTGCCCTATATGGGGTTACCAGCTAATATGCAAACGGATCTTTCAGAGACGTTTATAAAAGACTAGCGACCCGCCCCGACTTCGCCTGGATCTATTAATGTGGCGTCGTTTAGATTTAAGTTAATCATGAAAGACATATATTTTATCAATTTTTCATTTTCTCAATAAAAAGTCTCCAAGTTTTTTAATAAGCGGACAAACGTGCACACCTTCCACTCTATGGTAAGCGGATGCTATGGCCCTTAAACATCTACATTTATCCTCGACTAAGAATCAAAATGGAGATGCGTTGTCAAAAAATTTGCTCCATATTTTCTATATTAACTTACGCCATGTGTCTTTTAATTTTCATGTCTAGTAAGATGCATCGATAAACGAAATAGGTTTACTCATAAAACATCGTTACGATTGCTTCATGGTTCCGATGAACCAACTGCAGCGAAGTGAGTTCATGTTTATTTACTGCCCGCAGTATTTCCGTTTGTTTGTTATTTTTGTGTTGTATACGCAATTAAACTATATTATATGCGTTTCATTTACTTGCTATCTAGGTAAATTTATAGTAGCCATTGGTCTTTTGCGACCATATTTGTGGATTTGTTTAGTAGCGTATTTTGTACTTTCTTCGAAAATTTCTTTACAACTAGCGAAATCGGGGCGAATTTGCCTAGATAGGATCCTGAAATTAGGCCGGACAAACACATAGACAAAAATTTTAAAAATTGTTGTTTATGTCTTAGTAGCATTCATAAAACCTCTTGAGTCTAAAAGAAGTCAGTTATTTCAATATTACAGACATTTTTTTACTCATTTTGCAGTTGTCGTTACTTGTCGCTTGCTTAAATTACGTATTCAATATTCATTATATCTATATCTGTCTCTTTCTATTGTCATTTAGCGAAAAGAGAGAGAGCAACTTAAAGTGTTTATTAAATTGACATATTTTACTATACAAGTATTTATAAATAAACTTGGTGTCATGTATGACAAAATATGGAGAATTCCCTTTCCTGCCTCTGGTGAAACGAATATTTTATCTATTCGTCCTACTAATTTTGTTATTGGCACCAACGGGTCAACTTTTAATTAACTAGGGGCGAACTGGGAAGTCCTTCTACTTAAATAATAAAAGGCTCACTGTGTATCAGACTTTCGGAGCTTCCACCTGCGCTTTATAATGGCTCATAAATATATTTAAAAGCATACTTTTTACATTAATTACAGAATTTTTTTATAGGATAAGGGTAACAAACGAGCACACAGTCCACCTGATGGTAAGCGTTGCTGTGGCCCATAGGCATCTACATCTATACTCGATTACGAATCAAAATGCAGATGCGTTGTTACCCCTGAGGACCAAGATGGAGTGTCTCGTTTCCAGTAAAAAGGGTCTCCGGTTCTCTACACCCACCATACGAAACACAGTAGCATTAAGCTGCTATTTTACGTTGGTATTATGTGAGAGCGTGGTCTCACCTCGGTCGGTGCTGCAACCATAATATAGCTGCAGCGTGGCTCTACCACGTAAAATCGTCGTATCATCCTAGTGTAGCAGCAGTACGAGGGGATCAACTTAATGTGTTTATGGTCACCAGAAAGATCTATGGGTCAAGACCTATTAAGGTAGCACAGCCCAGGAGTGGCAAGGGGGCTAATGTAAAATTACGAGATGGTACTTCATGCTAATGATGATGAAGATGATGATATTTCTCCCTATTCAATGTAATGCATATCGCGAGATGTTATGTTGCGATAGAAGAGAAAATGTAGAGACACTCTGATCATTAAAACTTGAGCGTGTATTGACTTAGGTCAAAGTACCTATTCATGCCGTAGTTCATAGGTTTGAATCCGGTTCTCTACACTCACCATACGAAACACAGCAGCATTAAGCTGCTATTTTACGCTGGTATTCCGTGGAGCGTGGTCTTTCCCCAGTCGAGTCGACCCATTCGTGCTACAACTATACTATTAATATAACTGCAGCATGGCTCGACCACGTATAAATTAGTTAACTGTGTCATATTACATGTACAGATAAAAGTGTATGTATAATATCATTAATGAACATACACACATGAGTTTTCCATACTAAACGCTTTAAAGAATTAAATGATCAAATTCTGACCAGTCGCGATACCGTATCTATAGAGTTAAATATTTGAATTTAGCGTAGAACCTCAAGCTTATTAAATTTAACTGTAGGTACACTAACCATTGCGTAAAGTTGACCAACTTAAATTAATGTTTAAGGGAACGGCCACTATCGAACTTGTTATTAAATCACCTACATTCGCCATACGTATTAGCTTTAAGAATAGTTGGACAGTTGAGTTTAGATCAATATTGATCTAGTGACGTTATTACCCTGCTTAATATAATAATAATAATAATAAATAAAATATTTATTTGATTTCCAAATACACATGTTTACATACAGGAACAAATATGTTTAGAATTTAATAAAGGAACAATAAGTCTAACAAAAATAACATGCTATGATAAAATTGAAACTATGTGTAGCTTAATAATGAAGAATCTACAAAAGAAAAATAGAAAAGTCAAGTTTATAATATTAGCTACCTGCCTGAACTAGGTTGAGTACCTGTGTTTCAGACAACACTTACACTAATGAAACAAAGTAGGTAATTATTTAAAAATGTCATTGTATTACACATCCAATCACATCGTTTTTTGCAGATTATTACAGCAAGAGTCGGCTCCTTTTCTGCATATTATATATAGGAGCCGTCCTGGTCCAATACCACAATACTACCTTATTGCGTATGTGTGCCAAACAATAGTGATAAAGGAGCACAAATGCCATTTAATAGTAAGTGGATGCTGTGGCCCATAGACAATATCTATTCTCGATTAAGAATCAAAATGCAGATGCGTTGTCACCCCTGAGGACTAAGATGTATTGTCTCGTTTTCAGTAAAAAGGGTCTCCGGTTCTCTACACTGACTATACGAAACACGGCAGCATTAAGTTGCTATTTCATGCTGATATTCTGTTAAAGGTCCTTTTTGTTTCGAGCGAACCATTCGTGCGGCAACCATAATATAACTGCAGCATGGCTCTACAACGTTGATTGGGTAGAAAGCTCGTTTTGTCAATTTTTTTTACTAATTATACCACAATACTTGACACAATATTGATTAACCGTGTAGTGGCGGTGTAAGAATATTATCCCCTACTCCATATCGTCCTGTGTGTGTCGTAAGAGGCAACAGAGGGCTAGAAGACGGGCAGCAGCGTCCTCCTAGTAACGATAAGGGAAGAAAAAACTGCGGTTGCCAACTCACATGCCAATTGTGGTAACTACGGCAAATATCATCCATTTAATTCAATCTTAGGAGAAGCCTTTGTTGTTTTATTTAAAAAAACGTTACCCCCACACTAGGATTTTCTCCTGTGTCGAGGACAAACATCCAGACCCGGAACAATTACTTGTAGGCCATACAAATACTTGTTCCGTGCGGGATTCGAACCCGCGGCCCACGGCGCAATAACTCATTGATATGCCACTGCGTCACGGAGCCGTCAAGCTTTGTTTAGCAACGGTTGATAAGGCTGCAATTAATGAATGAATGAATGATTCAAGGATTTCCTAGCCTGCTTCCTCACCATGTTTTTGTTTACAAACATACACGTGTTGACATTTAATACAAAAGCTAGTTCGTATAATCTGTACTATATATATGTACAAGTTGACCAGGCAGACGTTGTTCTGCCCTTTCCGACGACCATGTGTCCTAAAAAAAATCTTTAAATTCACAATAAAAAAATTGAGGGTCACTTATCGGGATAAAAACTATCCTATCTCTCAAGTTGGACCAAACTGCACACATTGTGAAACATTTCATTGAAATCAGTTCAGTAGTTTAGGAGTCCATCGCGGACAAACAATGTGTCACGTAATTTTTATATATAAAGATATAACATCTATACATATGAATAAAATTGAAGTGTCTGTCTGTAATATCGAGATAACTAACTTATACTGAGCTGAGGGGTTAATTTGCATGCCATTATTAAGATATGAATTAACATTTTTTTTTTAATTTTTGTCTTTACGTCCGGGCCAATCTTCGGAATGGCTACACCGATTGTAATAAAACTTGACTTAGATAGAGAGCAAATACGAGTGATCAAAGCTTTATTTTTTAAATAGATTTTTTTAAAAATAAACGAAAAATTTATAAAATAAATGGTCTTTAAACCTAAACAACGTCATATTAATAGATCCTGCCCAGGCGAAGCCAAAGCGGGTCGCTAGTTTGAAATAAATCAAATATTTACTTCAAGATTTGACATATCACGCGAGCATACCCGAAAGCGACACATCGATACGTTCGCATAAATTCAATACATTGTTTGCGACCACGTTTCGTACACAACGTGTACATAACAGGAAATCCTGCGCAATTTGACATCGACGGGCGTCCGTGGCCCCGTAAGGAGCCCATTTGCAACGCCTAAACGGACCCGCGTAATTAATATGCAATTCAACACAATGTCTGTTTATATATAAAAATTAAACAGCACATTTATAAGGAGACAACGACATTAAGGTAACTTTTAATTATTTAATTTCAATTGAGTGTCTCTCTCTTACGCGTTAATTACAAAGTATGTCTCTACATAATGACGAAATTACATAATTCGCTATTAACCATTCTCAGACTTAAATTAGGCTCGATTAATTATTTCCTTTGCCTTTTAAAACGTAGTAAGTATAATAAGTAATGTGAATAAAGCAAAAAAATATAAACAAAGGTGTGAAATTTAAAGTAAATTATTTTTTTTAAATAAAACTCACCTCGTCTTCCTCATCCTCATTGTAAAATGGGTCAAAAAGCAAATTCTTCCAGTAGATAACATCTGGCGGTATCGCATAGGCATCGTGGTCCCTCAGGTTCGCGTAGAGAGGGCTCTCCCGGCCGACGCCCTCCGAGCTTGCACTGATCGAGCAACTCTCGACCTCCACACTACCCCCACAAGAGCAACCCTCGTCCGTATAACTGTAACCGTACTCGATCTCCTCGTAAATGTTCTCGTCGGTGGTTAAAGCGTCGCGGACCGGCTCGTACCCGTCATCCGGCTTGTCCGGCGTCATCGCGGCAACTGAGCGCCTGTCGCACCTGTCTCCCACCTCTTGAAGCGCGTAAACTGAGTACTGCGCCGGTGTAAAGTCGCTCGCCGTGTCGAACGTTATTCGTGACACAGTCGCGTGGTGCTGCGACAATACCTGGCGGAGGATCTCGTCCGAGTTGTGGAAGCCACTCGAGTGCGACCACACCACGGCGTACGCTCGCTTCGCCGGTTCAACAACAGGGTTACACTCCTTGTAGCTCCAGCACGTGCTCTCCGAGTCGCTGTCTGAGTCGAAGCGGTTAGGAGCACTAGGAGCTGACTGGATCGTTTCGTTCGCTCGTAACTTAGTCCTAGGCATCGGTATCGGTACACTACGCTTAACGTCACTTTCCATCACTTTCTCACTTTTAGCAGGTGTGCTTGTCACGAAAGAGACGTCAGACAGGCTCGATTCACCGTCACTGCACTCAACACCATTAATAATACAATCCGTTGGCACTGTTTCCATTTTGCATTGCTTCGTATCCATTCCTTGTAGGCACTCGTCGAAGATGTTGAGGATGCTCAGAGACACTTCCTTCTCCGCCGGGACGAGATTTCTTTGATACTCATCGAGTTTGAATATCTCCTTTCCGAGTTGGGAGAGGATTTCATCGAAGGCACTTTCAGATGCTTCGCCAGGGTCCTCAACCGCTGAAGGAGGCGGGCACACTGTTATTAAAGGATCGTATTCTTCTATAGAAGCGCGTATTGCGGAAAGCCAGTCGATTATCGGCTGTGCGGAGCGATCCGTGCACAGTGTCGCCGCCACAGCGCTCGGAAGCCAACTCCTGACCTCACACGACATTCTGTTACCGCCGCAAATACGATAACCGGTGTATGAATCAACGTTAGGAATTCCGCGAAGGCTCGTGGCTTAACACGTCCATTGTGCACCGCATTCTAGATTGTTTGCAAACGACGTCGTCCCCGTACGCGTCTCGTTACTGATATCGACGACATTTGCACTCAGCTGTGATTGCTTATCAAGCCATTTTCTCCCCTAAAACTTGTTGCTTCGGAAACATAAGACCTATCGCTGACCTGAGCGATATGAATTTATATTTGCTTTAATTTATATAACATTCAATCCTGGCTGTTGATACTGATGGCCAGATAATAATAAAAAAAAACAATCACAATGACTTTGACATTTGTTCGCGCGCTTTTTCCTCCCGATTAAAAAAAAATGTGAAGACGGAAGCGTCCGCTCGCGCCACGTCCACCGCGATAGTGCTGTACCGGGCAATTAATTGGATGCGTTCATTCTCAGCAGAGTCTGTGACCGATATTCGACGTTATTTCTGTGGCGGAGCGCGGGCGCATGGCGTAACCGCACTAAAAACTAAAAGCAAATGCAATGTGCATTAGATAAATGAAGCAGATCGGGCGCCGGGTAAACCTACATAATACAATCTGCTACAGGGACACGTGTTCTAAGCCCTCGGGTCGCAGACATCACACGTCAAAACGCAACTCCTTTGTTATTAAAATCAGCCAGACTACGATCTATAAGCGTCAGTAATTCATTGTAAATGTATTTTGTTAAACAAGTACGTCAGATAAAGGAAAACGTAAGAGTGTTCCAGGAAGCAAATGCCTTATTCAATTATAACATAGCTATAGAAACAACCGTTTACCTACAGACTTAATTATTTTCCTCTTAAAAATCAATAACTATTATTTTAGATTTATTTATTTTTTATTCAAGTATCTCACACAAAAATCATTTATGGAATTAAAAAGTTACCGCGGTGGCAATATAACCTACTAACTACTGCGTTATTAAAAGCCATTAACTATAACTTATTCTTTTTTGACTACTTGAAATTAAAAAAAAAGCAGAAGAAAAGAGTTATAAATAAAATAAGAGAAGAGAAGCCTTGAAAAACCTTCAATTTCGGCAGGTAATAAAAGCCAAATATCGTCATTCAAATTTTCGACAATTTCTTTTTAACTGGTATACACAGGGTATCGCAAGAAGCGCAGCAAGATTATGACCATCATTGGCGATCGCTGCTCTGTACCGTTATAATATAATGTATTGTAAGACACAGGGGCCGGTTTACGGACAACCTTTTCCTTTATTTTGGACGAGTAATTGCCCAGTCAATTACTTGTACTTTCGCTGTTTATCGACATCTAATTTAACATAACTATTGCCCATACACTCAAACGCCTATTTACTCAAACACGTACTTGTTTATTTAGGCATAAGTCTTTTAAAATACCATCAATATGAAGTTAAAATCACCCAAGTTTCAAATTAATTTATTTGTGAATACTGTGAGTTAGGTGTTAGTAAAATTTACAGCAGGTATCACGTATTCTACCGCAGTGTGATGTACATTTTTTTTAGTTATAGGCATAGACATAGTATAGATATGTTAAGCACAGAAAAAAAATCATCAGAAAGGAAGGAAATATTTACAAAATGCCAGGTACAAATTATATTACAAGTGAAAAAGTTGTGCAATGACACCCATGACACAACATAACACATCTTTAATGGTGCCTTTACACACTTTAAATCTATATAGAAAAAAAATATATATTATGTCAAATCAAATGAAAATATAATTCATATTCTTATTAGTATTATACATACAGTACATAGGGACATAGAAAATACATGAGTCAACAACAAATACAGCATGCTAAGTTAATCTCACTTGAAAATCTAAAAAAAATTGTTTCAATGATAAAATATCGTAAAAATAAGTAAATTAAAATAGTTAAGTATGTACATGAAATTTTAAGCTCTTACTTACAAATACATAGCTCTATTATACATCTCGAAAAAAAATTAAAAAATATATTATTCAGGTAAATATATACCTATATATTTATATCTGATTTTTCGGAAACGGCTCGAACGATTGGATAAAATTTTATCTTTAGATGATGTTCTACTTTCCAAGTTTATTTAGGTGTGATTTAATGTACATATATGAGAATTATTAATTTTAAAGAATATTTTTTCAACGCCGAGCAATAATCATTTGCCCAGGTTAATAGTTTATACCGCTTATCGCGATGACGAATTGTCTAGATTTTTTTAAAGAACATAGCAAAAAAGACTTCTTCACAGCAGCTAAATAAAACCATTTGAACTTTGAATTTTTTTCGTTATATTATAGTTTAAAAAAATATAGGTTTAAAGAATTATTTCGAAATTTAAATGTTTGTTTTGAAGTTTTGGGGGGAATTTGACCGGCGGCGGATTGCTGCTCCTGTATTATTGTTTAAATAATGGTTTGAAATGGATTTTGATATTCAAATGTGGTGCGATTGTGTGTACTAAATGTCTGCGCATGTGAACTATTAGTGGAAACGGTGAAACAAGTGCTCCGATGGTGATATGAATCTCAAGATAAGGTGTCTGTCTGCTTAGGCGCCTTGAGATTTGAGATACTATCGCCAACTGTCTGCTGCCTCAAGTTGCCGTCGAAATCTCCCAAGGACTGTGCAATGTGACGCATCAACAAAATTATTGTGAAGCAGGCAGATAAATTATTATTATCACTTGATACCAAGATAAATGAAGACATGGCTAAATGACAAGCATCCAAGCCAAAAATCTTAATAAAAAAATATTTGTGTTTTGCCACGACGGTTCTCTTTCCGAATACACTTTATATGACACACATGAACCTTTACTCGAATTTATAGCATAGGAACGAGAAATGAAAATGCCCGAAGTAGAAACAGCGTAACCGACATAGCCCAACGGTTTAGTAAATTACTTCAAATTACTGAACCAACAGCGGCAACGGGCCGGCCATTTAACTCAAAGAATCTATAACTGATGAGGAAAATAGGTTCTCTAGTAGCAACCTCGTAATGGTAAGCGAATTGTAGGGCAGCCCTCCACTAGATGGAAAGTCGTCACTCGTCATTATCTAGTGGAGGGACAAGCCACAAGAAGTCGATGGATGCAGGTGGCTCAGGACCGTGCTTTGTGGCACCTTGGGGTAGGCCTATTTTTGGCAGTGGACTTGTGAAGGGATGTGAAGATGATGATGATGATAAACAAGAAAAATAAAATGGTAAGGGTAATATGGTCCTATCTTATCACGAATATTTCTGAACTATAATATCACAGGGTAATTTTAAACATATTATATATATATAGATCGAACGTAAATAAAACTTCGAATTACCGGACACCTCGTAAAGACTTTTTAACTTGATTAACGCGTCGAAGTACTTTCTATATTGCTTGATTCCCAAAACAACAAAGGGCCTCAAATCGACTTTCTAACTTGTGTTGCGGGCCGCAGTTTAGAGCCCGCCTAATGAATACACAAGGAACCTCAGAGGGCAAACTACAAGGCGTATTCATTCACAGGCGAAATTAATTTTCATTCAATGCCACGTCATAAGTGCATGCATTCCTATAGCAACAAAGACGAATATTGTTGAGAAAACTGACGGCATATACGCTGTTATATTTTTAAAACATGCTGTCAATGAACACTGTTTTAGCGTGTCTCACAATATGTGCATTATTAGGTATAACGTCAATTTAATAAATATATGGACAGATACGCCTAATGCGCCTTAATATACGATAAATATAACCGATAATATACCGATAACATATTCATGTTCTCAATTAACAGGTACAAAGGCCTCTCCCACATATTGCTTAATAAATTTTTGCCATAGTTGCCACGCTTGGCAGGCGGGTTGGCAACCGCAATTTTTATTTTTATTGCTATTAGGAAGATACGCAATATAGCATAATTTTTATAAATTTTTTTATAGGATCGGGTGACAAACGAGCACACAGTCCACCTGGTGGTAAGTGTTGCTGTAGCCCATAGACATCTTCATCTACATCTCGTTTGCGAATCAAAATGCAGATGCGTCGTCACCCGTGAGGACTAAGATGGAATGCCTCTATTCCAGTAAAATAGGTCTCCGGTTCTCTACATTCACCATACGAAACACAGCAGTGTCAAGTTGCTATTTTACGCTGGTATTCTGTGAAGCGTGGTCCTTCCCCGGTCGAGCCGACCCATTCGTGCTACAATTATTTATGGCTCTACCACGTACAAAGTTTAATATAGGATGGGGTGACAAACGAGCACACAGTCCACCTGATGGTAAGTGGTTGCTGTGGCCCATAGACATCCACATCTATACTAAATAAAGAATCAAAATGCAGACGAGTTTTCACCCGTGAGGATTAAGATTGAATACCTCTTTTCCAGTAAAAAGGGTATCCGGTCTTCTACACTCACAAAACGAAACACAGCAGCGTTAACCCTTTCGCTGTCCCGTGCACTACATATAGGTCATTGCTATTGTCTTACTATTGTGTCTCAAATCCGGACAGTGAAAGTGTTAAGTTGCTATTTTACGCTGGTATTCTATGAGAGCGTGGTTCTTCCCCGGTCGAGCCGACCAATTCGTGCTACAACTATAGTACTAATATAGCTGAAGCATGGCTCTACCATGTATAAAAAACATTTAATGTAGTCCTCAGGGGTCACAACACATCCACATTTTGATTCTCTGATATCCACTTAACATTTGATGAACTCTGTGCTCGTTTGTCACCCTTATGCTATAAAAAAACTAACAAACATGATGACATTTTTTTCGTATTTTCTTTAAAAAGTGTAATAATCCATAGATTTACCATTTGTTTAGTAGAGCCAAGGTTCTACTAAACAAATGAAATTTTTGCAGGGATATTTTGACCTAACTTTCAGTAAATTATTCTGTAAATAGAATTTCTAAAACCTACGATTGACATACAAGTCAACCCAGGTAAAACTTAGTCTAAGGTGTCTAACA